TGTGCAGACAGTGTGGGTTATGCTGAACGCCTGCTTCCTTTCTGGGAGTCTGGCAGCTCGGTGTGTGCCAGGCAGAGGGGCCCATGTGACCAGCCTCCAATCAAAACCCTGGGGGCTGAGTGCCTGAGTAGCTCCCTGGTTGACACAGGCCACATGCGCTGTCACAGATTCGATGCTGGAGGAACTGTGTGTGTCCCGTGTGACTCCACGCCTGGCTCCTGCCTGCTCCTCTAGGCGTTGCCCATCACCCTTTCCCTCGGCTGGCTTTCTGTGCATCCTTTGGTGGTAACCAAGCCGAGCCTTGCGCCCGGCTGTAGGCTGAGTCCTGTGAGCCCTCCCGGCGGGTCACAAGCCTGGGGCGGTCCCGTGGACCTGAGGCGGCGTGGCTGTGACGGGATGTGGAAATGGGTCACCGCGGGCGGAGCACTTGGCTGCAGCGCAGGGCGGTCCCGTTCGGCTCTCTCTCAGGAATGGGGTCAACCTGCCCCACCCCCTGCTCTCAGGAGTAGGTCAGAGCAGAGCATCTTCTGGAGTGAGATAACTCTGTGAATTCAGGTGGCAGGGGATGGAAGGGGGTCAGCAAACTCACTAGACTAGCACACAGTCCAGGCAAACTAAGGCCAGTAAGAAGCGGGGCCAGGACACCTGGGCCGTCTGTTCTCAGGCTCAATCGTGCTGCATGGCAGTGGATGTGGCGGCTTTACCTCTCATGCAGAACGGGTACCTGGGGTCTCTTCACCATCTTCCCAAGGACCCCTTGAGCCCCCCCAGCGTTAAAGCTCCCGCTTCCTGTGCTGCTGGCCTCTCTTTGGTAGTCTCTCGTTTTGATGGAACATATCCTGTCATAGCTTCCTGAGAAATGGTACCCAGAGGGTAGAGTGCTTGAGTCCTTCTATGTCCAACCATGTCTTGCCTCTACCCCGGACTTGACTGATATTTCCCCGGGGATTAGTTACAGGTGGCAAGAAAGTTTTCCTCAGCATTTTGAAAGGATTGTTCTCTTTCATTCAACAATTTTTAAAAAAATATTTTTATTAAATTCAGAGAGGAAGGAGGAGAGAGAGAGAGAGAGAAACATCAACGATGAGAGAGAGAATCATTGACTGGCTGCTTCCCCCCCACTGGGGATCGAGCCCACAACCTGGGCATGTGCCCTGGCCCGGAATCTAACTGTGACCTCCTGGTTCACAGGTCAATGCTCAACCACTGAGCCACACCAGCTGGGCCATTCAATAAATTTTTATTGAGAACCTTGTACATGTCTGGCACTGCCTCTAAGTACCTGGATTCATTTGTGAACAACAAAGACCAAGGTCATAGAGACAAAAGTCAAAGAGCTTGTATTCCAGCCTGCCTTCTGGCTTTGGTGTGGCTGCCGCCACGTCTGAAGCCATCCTGGTTTCTGATCCTTCACATGACCTTTCCTCTCTGCAGGCTGGAGGGATCTTGTCTGGTTCCCCAGTGTTCTAGCATTTCACAATGTTGCGTCTAGCGTGGGTTTATTTTTATCCATTTTGCTGGCACTTGGTGGGTTCATTTACTCTGTGATCTCACGTCCTTCATTTCTGGACGTTTCTCTGGAATATCTGTGGATGATCGTCTCCTTTGTGCTTGGAGGTCGGACCTGCTGGGGTGGTCCCCTTTGTTATTCTCCTGTGACTCGTCCTGTCTCGTGGCTCCTTCTGGGAGATTTTCTCAATGTCCTTTTCCCACCTTTCTAGTCCTTTCATTCTGGTGACAGGGGCAGGGGGTTAGCCTGGGGCCAGCTGCTGCTGCCCATGCTTACTTTGTGAAGTTTCTTGCATAAATGTCATACTGTTTTTGCTTCATGGATGCAGTATCTACTCATCTGAGAATGTCAGCATTGGTTTTAAAATGTTCATCTCCTTGCATAGTCTTTTTCTCCAACGTTGCTTTTCTCCTGTTCATCGGTTTTGATCTCTAAAGCTCACATTTAGAGGCTTCTCTCAGATGTCTGGTTAACCCTTGGTTGTCTGCTTATGATTAAGAGTCGGGGCTAGACATAGCTGGTTTTGCCCAGTGGTTAGAAGGGTCTCAGGTTCAATTCCCGGTCAAGGGTATGTACCTCAGTTGTAGGCTTGATCCCCAGTCAGGCTCAGAGCATGTGTGGGAGGCAACTAATGGATATGTCTTTGCCACATCAATGTTTCTCTCTCTCTTTCCCCCTCCTCCCTCCCGTCCACTCTTTCTATCAAAAATAAAAACCACAAAAAACAAAACAATGGGGAAAAAATCCTTGGGTGAGGATTAAAAAAAAGTCTAGGGCTAAAAATCTGTTTGAATATCTGAGCACGTGGTTCTTAGGACCTTCAGACTTTGGGGTTCAATGGAAGGTAGTCTGCATGTGTCGAAACTCTTACGTTTATATCTTGGGGACCGTCAGCTTCTCCGGGAAAGAATCTCCTGAGATTTCTGCACAGAAAGTAAGCATTTGGTAGTCAGTGTCCCGGGAGCCGAGTGAGGACAGAAGGATGGGAGCCCAGCATTCAGTAGTCATAAGCTCAATCTCGTTTTCTGTTTTGTCTGCTTTTTAAAAATATGTTTTTATTGATTTTAGAGAGAGAGGAAGGGAGAGTGAGGGAGAGATAGAAACATGGTGAGACCCTCTCCCCGCCCCAGGAGCACCCCGCCCCCCACAGCAGTTTCTCTCTCTCCTTCCCCACAGGAATGCATCTCCTAAACTCTAAAGGACCCCCCTACCCGCACCCCGCGAGGCTTGCAAATATGCTCTTACTCATAAGCAGACAACCAAGGGTTAACCAGACATCTGAGAGGAGCCTCTAAATGTGAGCTTTAGAGATCAAAACCGATGAACAGGAGAAAAGCAACGCTGGAGTGCATCTGGACGCTGCTCTAACCGAGCTACCCCGCCAGGGCCCATTCCTATTTCCAAGATGCTACTTGTGACCTTAATGTGGTTTAGCCTCCCCTGTATACAGAAACTCTTCATTTTGCTTCTTTCAAAGAATAAACTTTCAGTCTTCTGCTAGGATAGGGAATCTAGATTTGCAAGGATATATGTCGAATAAACTCTAAGAAGTGGGATTGCTGGATCAAAATGTACACTTTAGACTTGCATTAGTTATTGCCAAATTATTCTCTATGGAGCCTGTCTCAATTGACACCACCACCAGCAGTCTATGAGAGTATCTGTTTCCTCATACCTTGTAAATAGTTATCAAACTTTCTGACTTTGAAAAAAGGTCTTTTTTTTTTTTTTGAGATCTATGGACCCTATAACATAAAGGAATGGTTTTGTTGGAATTGCCAGCTTAGGAAAAGGTACTGAGTTTAATTAATGAGTCAACCAAGCTCCTTGTGTCTTTATTTTTCTTTTGATAGTATATAACCTATGAATTCGAGATGGTCTTCTTTATGGAAAAAAGGTCATTTCATATCTGCCACTTTAATTTACATTTTTTTATTTTGAAATTATTATTGTTTAATTTACATTTTTCTTAAGTGTGAGAATGAGCATCTTTTACTGGTTGAGAGACATGTTTCCTTTCATGTCCTTGTAAGCGTTTGCTGGCATCCTGTGCTAACTAGACCGTTAGTCTTTATTTCATTGATTTCTAGAAGCTCTTCACTTTTTCCAGTTTCTTGTTTGTTGCTAGTAGATACTGCATCCATGAAGCAAAAACAGTATGACATTTATGTAAGAAACTTCACAAAGTAAGCATGGGCAGCAGCAGCTGGCCCCAGGCTAACCCCCTGCCCCTGTCACCAAGGCCCCTTTTCTCTGACTCCTTAGTGAGCCAAGCAGCCCAGCCTACGCTCACTTCCTTGCATAGTGTCTCTCCTGTTGCTTCTGTCGTAGGCCGTTCCTTGTTTCACTGTCCCAGCTTTAATAAATATCCTCTAAAAAGAAAAAGAAAAGGAAACATTGAGAGAGAAACATCAACATTGATGGCTTCCTCCTGCATGTTACCAGCTGGGGATTGTGAGACCACAACCCAGGCATGTGCCCTGACTGGGAATGGAATCAGTGACCTCCTGTTTTTTTTAAAACTTATTT